TAATTAAAATTAAATTGAAAAGAACCAGACAATTACAAAACCACCAGTACAAATTTTTACAGGTAAAAAAAAAAAAAACTCTGCCACTGTACGGGAAACATTTCATCCACAAAAGGGGTACACTACACCTCCCTTGCCTTAAAGGGGGAAACAAAAGTCACAAACATTTTTCCTTAGAGAATATGAAAATAATGTTACAAAAATGGAAAAGGGGCACAAAAATTGGGGAATTGTGGAAATTTAAAAAATAAAGAACAAAAAAAAAAAATTCCGCAAAAAATTAAAAAATTTTTCCACTGAATTTTTTTTGGGTTATTTTTTGGGGGTTTGAGGGGTTTGTTTTTAACTGTTTGTCTGCTAAAAAAACAATACTTACGCATAAATTTACACAAAAATAGCCCTTTGAATGCATTTGTTTCAAACTCTAATAATTAAATTTTATATGATTGTATAGGACCCATTTTTTTCCCGCAATTCTCTTTGTGTATATGAATTTTTTAAATGCCATAGGCGATTTGCAAAAAAAAAAGATTTCTATAACAAGGGTTAAAAAGGGAAAAAACCCGACGGGATTACAACATTTTGCCATGGCTCTGGAACACATCTACACTAAAGCAAGAAACTTATGTTTAAAAAAACCATTTGAAAGGAAAGCCAACAAAATGCCGAGTTTTTCATTACAGACGGGTTTGTATACGACCCCTAGGGTTTAGTTCCCCCCCCAGGACTGTAATAAAAATTAATAAATAACCCACAAACCCTGCATGAGAAAGCTTAGATTTTACCACTCTTCAGATTTTCCCACTCTTACATGAGTGGGGAAGCTTGGGTTGGGCAAATGCTGCAGCGAGGAGGCGGCTGGAGGCAGGGGAAAGATGTCCTGTCTAAGGGTAATGTGTGGTGTAAATTTTTGGGGCAGAGAATTCGGAGTGTGGGAAATTAGGGAGGTGTGGAGTTACTAAAAGTATTTAGTCAGAGGGCTTTAAAAAGGGGTTGTTGAGGGGGGTTTGGTCATTTGGAGGGGCATGTAAATCTGTAGGGGAGGGGGGGGGGGCAGAGTAAGGGTTGTCTCAAAAAAAGGGTTTGGGGGGGGAGGGGGGGTTGTAAAGGAGGTTTTTGTGGGCGGGGGGACTTCGACTTCCAGCATGTGTGGGGCATGTTTAGATAGGAGTAGAATGGACATGAATGGTTTTTGGGACCTGATGAGCTGTTGGAGTGTGAGCATGGTAAAAGTTTGTGAAGAGATTCAGGGAAACTGGTAGCCGGACTTGAGTCCTGGAAAGGGGAAGTACAATGCCTGCACTTTAACCCTTTCGGGGGGTCGGTGGTCATCTAGTATGGCTTGAAAGCCAGGGTTTTTGCCAACTTGGGGCGGGTAAATTCTAGCGCCTTCAAATCTAGTGGGAGAAAGTTTACCTACATATGAAAGAATGGGTCTGCGTGGTCAGTGGCCACAGTAAAAAAAAAAATCCGCAGCACACGGGGGCAAAATTTAAAAAAAAAAAAAAAAATCTGACCGGTTAGGGTTTTAAAAAACAGCGACTTTCAGTCTATTTTCTTTGGGGTATTTATTGTT